TGTAGCGCCTCTGCCTCCGCCCGCCAGCCTCACGTGGAACTCCAGCACGCGCGGCCGCTCGCAGTAGAACGTGAAGTTCACTCCGTGGTACCCGTTAGTCTTCCCCTCTGGGCGGATCCGCCCGTCAAACACGCAGCAGATCTGCTCTCCTTCCAGCAACACGATGGGGCAACGGCACAACGCGTCCTGCTTTTCATTACAGACAGAGTGCGTCTTTGTTAAACAAGTACGATATTTTTGCTGCTGATGACTTTCGATTCGTTACTTTTAGCATCAGGTATCAGGAGCTCAACTGGTATTGAGTTCTATTCAAATATTGGGTGGTGGAGGGGAGAGAATATGTGGTGTCATAGAGGGAAAATGAAATTCACACTAGAAAGGCCAATATTTGCTTTGGAGCAAATACAGCGATGGGTTCACCACATTTTACCACATGGCAGAGAAAGAATGAGAAACACAAGGGAAAACAATGATTTACATTGATATAACTATAATATGAAGTAAAATACAACTAAAACAACAGTTGGATAGCTATTCCCTACTTTATTGGTTAGGATTTTTAATTGTATAATGCAAACTGTTGATTTTCAAAATAAAAAAAAAACGTCCATGCCCGGCATTCCAATGCTGGAGCAGGAAAGCTTGAAATACCTACCAAAACACTTGAATACAGACATACTGTCAGTATGGAAATGCTTCTGTGCAGGTGTTAATCAAGTTAAATCCCAACAGCCAATCAGCAAGAAGTATAGAGGAAAGCTGCATGCCTATTGGTTGATGCCCTGCATTCCATTGTGATGACTCATGCCCAAACGTGGTAAACAAGGCAAACTAACACAGTAATACATTTGCTATAACACAGCCAAAAAACTCAAATAAAACCATTCTAAAAGCCTGTATCACAATAATTTAAAAAACGCCTAGGGGTATTTGCCCACTGTACCTCCATACCAAATTTCAGGACCTTAGGCCCTAAAATGAAGAAGCTGAATCCATTTAAAAAATGGCAGGAGAAGGAGGAGGAGAAGAAGGAGAAGAAACATCAGAAAAAGCAATATGGTTTCGAACCCATAAATAGGTCTGGTAACCGGGCTACTTGATGAGAGCAGTGCTAGGAGTGGATGGGGTTTTGCAAGAAGGACACGAGTTCTTTGTTGGCGACGAGGTCCTGCACGGTTCGACTTTTGAAGTCTTCCCAGTTGACTTTGTCCTGCAGCTTCTGCTGGAGGCTCCGTTCGGAAGGGTACGGCTGGATCTGTGAGGGAGATGTTGTGATAGGTTCTCTGTAAAGCTGTTCTGGATGTTGGATGTTGATCATGATCACAACAAATATCATTGTCTTAATTCTTAAGCAAACAGTGATGGATGTACATTTGTACCTACTTTTTTTTCTTTCTTAAAAAACATATATCTCAACTTTGCAGCCAATATAATTATATGAGTTTAAATATAAAATGCAAGACTAGCATGTACGAGAACAAGTTCACAGCCTTGTTGGCCCCTAAGAGCAATTGTGAATAACCGTGAAGAAGAGGAAGGAAGCTCAGGTGGTTTGGTACACCAGTCTGGCAAAGACCATCCTCTAGGGTATACGCACTCTCGAGGGTGGCCGTAGACGAGGCCGACAGAGAAAAACCTGGCTCGACAGCATCAAAGGACTGGAACCGGAATCAAAATCCAGGAGCTACTGACAGCTGCAGCACAAAGGAAAACCCTGCCTTTTCCCACCGACGAACTAGTCGGTCAAGGTAATAATAGGTGGGTAGGTAGGTACATGTAGGTAGGAACTTGACATGGTGGTGCATTTAATTGATACGTAATAGCAGTGATTACTAACCGTGCTCCTAATCTTCCTGCGGATGTCGAGGTCCAGATGCTTCTCGAAGAACTTCCGTGAGATAAGGATGCACTCCGCACCGTCCGACACCAGACTCATGCCTGTCCCGCCCTCTGACGGGGTGAACACCACGTTCACTAAACCCTGCAACAACATTTCATAGATTATACAAAATTAATCATAATATGTCAATGGTATACAACTTCTCGTCTAGTGTGAATAAGGTAACGTGTCTGTAACCGTAATTCTAGAGATTATATTTCGAAGTAATTGGTCATTCATTATCCTGATGTTAAGGCCACAGTGGTCGTTGAAAAATTGATCTCTGTGTAACCCTTAAGCTTGTGTTGGAATAGAGTTCAACATTTTACTGTGATAACTACCAACACAGATGAACTTTCATGATAGTAGTATACAACCTGTTAACTAGTTCTAATTATTAGTTTATATTATTCTTTAAGGAGCAAGCTTGACTAATGCCATTCTTACTTCTAGAATGAAAATAATCTCTGCTAGTATATATACCGGTATGGTCACGTGCTCTGACGGGGGACGATACAAACTTTCAACCACCGTTGACCCATTGCTTACGTCACATCTCCGAAAGGTTACGTTTTATAAGCCATTTACGTATGGTACAAAATTTGCTGAATTCTATTCGTTTCTATTAAGAAAAAGTTTAATTCCTAGAAAAGAGAAACTTACGAAGACATCGCCCTCCTTTAGAGTTTGGACTTGGATGAAGACCTCACTGTCCCCCGAGGAGTCCGAGGTGGTATCGTCCAAATGAGAGAGGTCAGGGGTCGTTCGTTCCGACGCGGGAAGCACGGATCGCCTCTTAGCTTGCTGTGTTGCCATGGTGATTTAAAAAAAACATGAAAAACATTAGCTTCATTCAGAAGAATGCACCGGAAGTATCTTGAACATGACCCCCCCCCAAAAAAACTCTCATTTTGTATTTCTCATACTTTTATCGATCGCTGAAACCTAGAAAAGCAAGCTATATATAGCTAGGGCCACACCAATAATTTCTTGGTTAAAGGATTTTTCTAGAAAAATAATGGAGCGGGCGTGCGAAAAAAAAAGATCTATACCTAGGCATCTTATCATGGCCCAAAATGGTACGATAGGAGCCATGAAGTCAACACAACAGGCCGGTTCAAAATTTAAACAATGAATTTTGAACTTTTAATAATGATACCACTGCGTTGAAAGATGGAATTAACTGTAACAACTAGGATGAAAAGGACTGTTTTCAACTGTTCAGGGCAAAATATGAGCATTTTGCAGTTGATTCTGAATTTTTATTTTTATTGGCAAATCAGAAAAAAATGAAGTGGGCGAATCCGTTAACCAAGAAATTAAATTGGTGTGGCCTAGTCACGAATAATTCTTATTCTCATAAGTTGAAGACTTACCGATATCGTTAATCTCTCATTAAAGAGTTCTTCGAGCTGCTGCTTGTGCGACGAGGCATCTTCGGGTAGACCTGAAAGGAAATGATATATGGAAGATGATATTAGAATGAATGAATGAATGAATGAATGAATGAATGAATGAATGAATGAATGAATGAATGAATGAATGAATGAATGAATGAATGAATGAATGAATGAATGAATGAATGAATGAATGAATGAATGAATGAATGAATGAATGAATGAATGAATGAATGAATGAATGAATGAACTTTATTGCAGTTGACAGTTGTACACGGTACAATGTATGGCATCAATAACAATGTGATCAATACAATCAAGTCTATTCTAAGAGACTACTTTACTACAGGAATATGAACGTAAACGGCGGATGACATGATGTGAGTTAGGCGTTTCTATCTGTTACAATACTTTCTCTCTTTTGTAGTGCACTGCATATATATTGGCCTAAGTACGTAGATATGGAGTCGGGACATGACATAAGTAGATTAAAAATGTCTATGTTTGTCTTTGGGAGAGGTTTACCAGTTTCATATGTGATCATTTTCATTAATCTTTCTCTATCTAATAAAGTATATGTAGGACAGGTCATTATGAAATGATACTCATCTTCCATATATAACAGTTGAGATTTAGTTCAAAGATTCCATAGTATTGAACGTTGAACACTCCGGCCATTCCTACTTCTTCATGGTGACTCTTGGAAAACTTGGTAAAATGAATGCGCTCATACATCAAGTCTAAACTGTGTAGCCATGTTACACACCTGTCATGGGAGTTTTCATGTAAATGGGCGGCAGTCCGGGGCTGTCTGTACGGGGTCGCCCGGACGCCGCCGAGCGGGTCTGCCGTTTCTTGGCGGGGCCAGGGTACGTGTGCGCCCGTAGGGGATCACTGGAGCGGCTCGGTGAGGAGGCGGGCGCCGTTTCTTCAGAGTCGTCTGAGGCGGAGGACGTTACGGATCGTGGACTGACGGAAGGACCTGGGGAATGGGATTTAAAAAGTAAACGATAGCTAATTTGTTTCAAAGGAATTACTAATTTTAGATTTTCTTCGACCCTCGTCAGAAAGAATGACCCAGTACTCTGAACACATGACCTTGTGGACACGTGACTCCAGTAATAGGTCACCTGTACCAGCACGTCAGCAGAACGTACTGCACCTGCGCGAAACCCGTAATGTATTGTACATAGCATTTCGGCAGAATGTCTCAAGGTTGTATTCGCTCATATAAGGTTAGCATTTCGACAGTAGTTTCCAAATGTTGTGTCGGACAGAATATCCTCTGCAACAGGCAAAATTCTGATGCAACGTTGACCAAAAACCCAACGAAAACCGCGAAAATACGGGGTTCTGCGCAGGCGCAGTACATTCTGCCGACGTGCTTTCAAATGTGAGTGTACCAGCCAGTCTGAAGAAGGCCATAGACAGGTGGTCTAGTCGCAGTGAATTGAAATGTGATTCACTTTTCACGTTTTCATTGTTTTCGTGTATACGGAAGAAGTCAAACGTTCTTTGTTTTCTCTTGTCAGTACGATTTGAACTTACCTGAAAAGTCTGTGGGCACGTTTCTTCTCCTCCTGGATGAAAACTGTGGCGTGGTTGGTCGGAGGGATTTCAGAACCCTGCAATGTCCCTGTACAAGAACAAAAGAAAGGAACATTTACACGTTGGTGACACGTCTGGGTGTGGACATATATCATAAATGTCCAACGGAAAACGAGACTTATTTGCACACAAACCGATTGATGGCCGAAAGAATACATGTTATATCTAAGGCCATGTTGATTTGATTATATGGATGACATCCTCCGGGAAACCCAAAACTGATGATGCGAGCGTGCGAATAAAAAAAAGTTTGGCAAAAAATTTGCTTTCATTATGAAATCTACGTGGTCATAAAGGTTGAACAAAGGAATAAACACACAGAGTATGGTATGCCGAATAATAATGGACTCTTCATTTTCATTTCTTCACATTTTCTGCTTTTCCTGAATTGATTTCGGCATTCTATGCCATTAGTATCGTTTTTCAATACTTTTGCAATGCAACATACGACATGTATTCAGTCATTTTGCACGATTCATAGTATGGTCGATTTTTTTTTTTTTTGAAACGGACGAAAATTCATGCGCGCGCGGACGTCATCCATATAATCAAATCAACGTAACATGGCCTAATTGCTCAATAGACTCACCGTTACTACCACGTATATCTTGTCCGCCATACTGCTGTCCTTACAGATGACGAGGCCGCGCCTGAAGAAGGTGTACAGGCACACGTCCGGGTTGTGCTGAGGCAGCTTGTCCACGGGCCAGCCCTGCAGTTCTGGCACCTTCCGCAAGAAGCGCACGTGTTCAGGCTCCTGGCCGTCATTTTTGCTCGTGCCGTGCATGAAAATACTGACAAAATCCTGGGTGGAATGCGGGAAAAGAGTAAAAAAAACTTCAATATATTATCACTTACCCAAAACTTTATCACCACATCAGAACGTTTTTAAAAGATTTCAATTTCCCCCTTTGTTATCTATGTATTGTGTCCTCTCTTTGCCATCATTTATCATTGGGTGGGGAACCGGACTTGCGCTTTTGAATTTCCTGTATATACTGTTTTGCCTGTCTTAAAGTTGCATTTGTTTTTTCTTTATTATATGTATTAATTTAGTGGTGTCGTAAACGTAAGTGCTTTCCACTTGAGTACGGCACCACCAAGTCTTGTACTTTTTCTATGTGAATGAACAAAAAATAATAATAATAATAATGATAAGCCCAATCCGTAAGCCTGCTCAGGAGGCTACGTATATAGAATAATGCTGTTTTATAGGTCGATTTCCAGATAACGTTTGCACCGATAAAATCTCGCGAGATCTAAGAACCATGCGATTGCCGTACTGGCTGCTGCTTCTGGAACAGAAAGGGCATCGTCATCTTTGGTGAGCTTATTGGGTGGTTTATGTCGATCTTTATCATGTGCGATTTAGAATATTTTAGAATCTCTCACCTCCCTGCCCACGGCCAGCAGCGACACGGTGTCCTTACAGATGACGGAGGCGTTCCGCTTGGACTGGTGCATCAGGGCCAGCTCCTGTAGAAATACACGGAGAACACGCTGAGACGTAAGACTCTAACAGTGTCGATGGTTGGCTCTGTCATAGCTTGAAAATCCTAGGCTATGACATCAAAATCGTGGGACGACCTACGACGGATGTGACCCTCGTTGTACGATTTTTGGTCGTGTTACAGCTTGCTTGAAAATTCTACAACATAAAATTAGTACAACGGCGTACGACGAATGTGGCCGCGTTGCTACAACACAAAGAGGCAAAACTTGTTGGCTTACCCCAAAACTGTTCCCCTTCTTAAGAAACGCCACCGTCTTGAGACTGGGTTCTCCGGTGTCCTCGTCCCGTGAGATGACGGTCACGACAGCCGTACCGGACAGGATGAAGTAGAAGTTCTCAGCGATGTGACCCTGCCGGATGATCACTCGCTTTGGGTCGAAACTGGAGAGAAGTATGTGAGAAATGTTAACTACTAGTAGAAAGGAAATATTTGCAAAGCAAGTGTTTTACAGATACTTTCACGGTCGATGTTCAGGAGAACTTGCACTTCTTGTTCCGCCGCTCAGAACCTTTCAGCGTGCCACTAGGTTCTCTTCCAGTTCTCATCAATACACCGTTAACATACCTGTCTCCAAGTCAGCTTCTTTCCCCGGACTGCAAAATTATGGAACTCTCTTCCAAATAGTTGCTGTCCGTCCGACTACAATCCACAAAGCTTCAAAACAAAGGTCCACTGCCATCTCCTGACATAACTACATTATACTCACTTAAGTACCTCTAGCTCTATGCCTAGAAGTGTCCCAAAATAATTGGCCTTGCATTAAGCGACACCGTGTAAAAAAAGTGTATAATGTTTGCCTTACATGGTCTACCGACAAGCTACTGCTCTGTTTATTCTTATTCAAACACGTTCATAGATCTGTTGACCAGCCCCTCCGACTCTGACTTGCCATTGCTACATAATGCAATCCAACACCACAGGGTGTCCGCTACAGCACCAGTTACCATGGCGACACACGTCTGGTCCGGATTATTAACATTTAGTTGTTTGAAGAAGAAGAACAGATCTATTTTCCTGAGGGTAAACATTAAAATAACTAGAAAGGTAATATTTGCAAGGCAAATGCGTAATGTTTACCTTCGCATATGGCCTACTCTTTAATTCTTACTCAAACACATTCATATTACGGTGACAGGAGTCTAAATCCCTCCTGCTATAAAATTGCAACATGATGTAACCCAACACTAGTTACCATGGTAACAGACACAACATTGGTTCAGGACTTCAGGTCATTGAGGTCACTGTTTGGAGAAGAAGAAGAAGAAGAAGAGGAAGAAGAAACTGAGCAAAAACAATATGTTTTCCTTCGGTAAACATAATTACTCCGGATCCTTACCATTCGTACCAGCCGACTCTGATGAGAGACTCTTGCATTTTGATGGGGAACTCTGAAAACACTTCCACCGCACTGCGGACTGACTTCAGCGCCTGGGGATAGAGAGTGAGGGCCAAATTTGAAATCAAGTGAGAACAAAAGTGTTGGCCAATGAGATTGAACACTGTTTGACCAATCAACATGCAGTACCACTGCAGAGCCAAATTTGAAATAGATTTAGGACAAAAGTGTTGGCCAATGAGATTGAGCAGTGTTTGACCAATCAACATGCAGTATCATGCGTAAAGTCCAAGAAGGGCCCAATCGGGTTGAAGTACCCACGGGTAAGGTGTAATATAATGTGTTGGCCAATGAGATTGAACACTGTTTGACCAATCAACGTGCAGTACGATGCGTAGAGACCAAGAAGGGACCAATCGGGTTAAAGGACCCACGGGTAAGGTGTAATATAATGTGTTGGCCAATGAGATTGAACACTGTTTGACCAATCAACGTGCAGTATGATGCGTAGAGACCAAGAAGGGACCAATCGGGTTGAAGAACCCATGGGTAAGATGTAATATTATTAGGAGCCCTGCTCACCAGCTGGATCTGTTCCTCCGTCCGGTCCTCAGGCGCCAGTCTCAGGATAGCCTTCGCCTCGTCACTTACAAACACCTGGGGGCGTAAGAAAGAAGTAAGGCCCCATTCCCACTAGAGTAAATTGTCTGGATCGAGCCGAATTGATTCGCTTTGATCGGGCTTTGATTCGATCCGGTTCGATTGAGCCTTCAGCCGGCTTTCTTATGATTACACACTGTGAACATCCAAACAAGTACGAATCTAGGCTATCTCAACCAGTCTGACCTTGGCTATAGGCTGTCTCAAACTGCCCTAACAAGTCTGTCTCTAGGCTATCTAGAACTATCGTCACAATGACGCTAGCCAATCGCACCTCTTTCCTAGCCTTGTAGTAGCTGGGGTCGAACGCCGGTCCAGACTTGTTCATCATGCTCTCTATCTCGTACTGGAACTCTGCAAACGACTTCAGGTTTGGCTTCTTCTGCTTCTCTTCTTCTTCACTGGAGAGAAAAACGACATACAAAAACATTACGTCAGTACGGTGGCCCACATATACACACCTGTGTCGTCTGCGCGCATACCTGTGTATTTGTGGGCCACGGTACGTCAGGTCTAACATTTAGCCGTCAGCATAAGGAGGTTCTGTTGTGATGACCACATATCTCTTCAGCACGTCGGCGGAACGTACTGTGCCTGCTTTTTTCGTTGGATGTTTGGTCAACGTTGCATCAGAATTTTGCCCATTGCAGACGATATTTTTCCGGCACATCTAATATTTGAGAATTATAGACGGGATATCAGCATTAAATACACGAATACGACCTTAAACGAGACATTGTCATTGTATTATGCATAATACTTTTGGTGTTTCCCTCAGCGGCAGTATTCATTCTGTCGCCACCGATTCAAGTACTCGTATAACCTACATAAGGCCACAGCAAGTAAATTTTATGGATGACATCCCCAGCAGACTCCAAATCTAATGCGAGCGGGCGAAAAAAAACAAGGCGGGCAATAAAAAACAAGTTAGCTGCCAAATATTACAACATCAATTTATCACCAAAACAACGTTGAAAATAAAAGTTTTCAATCACTATACAAATGGTTTTGATTTACTGGAAAACAGAGGGTAACAAATTTTCTTTTTTTCCCCCAAATCAGGCGAAAATCAATGCGCGCGCTGATGTCATCCATAAAAATTACTTGCCGTGGCCTAATGCACCGGCGCCATACATTAGCGAAGTGTGAAATCATTTCACAACTTAAATGGTTTTATAATAATAAATGGTTTTTATTGTCCAAATTTAAACAGTACCCGTGCAGTCGCAGCCTTTATACGACTGAATTGATGCAGGGTATCACATAATAATCAATACAAATCACAACAATTACAACAATCAAATAATACACATGATACACATTTTATTCCACAATTATTTTTTGTGGAACTGTCGCAAGGGTCTGTGCGGCTGCCATTCGGCGCCACAAGGTGACCTCAATACGAATTTCCCCAACCGAAGTTAGGTACCCATTCACACCTGGGTGGAGTGAGGAAAGTCGTGTAAAGTGCCTTTCCCAAGGGCACAACGTCGGGGCGCATGTTCAGACATGTCCCGGGAACGACTCGGGATCGAACCCAGGTCTCCCCGGTTCATAGTCGATTGCTCTAACCACCACACCACCCGACGCCACTTGTAATATTTAATGTCACAAAAACACGAATACATTACTTATTCAAGTATATATACTCCACACGTATCGTACCTTGTGAGTAGGCCCACATGTAGGTTGGCAAGAATAAACACCATTCATTATTAATCCTTTGTTTTGCCACTTTGCTTAAATAATTATTGCGACAAAGTGTTTTGAGATAAGATAACACCTGGTGTTTATGTTTGCATTCCGTGTTAAACAGTATCTAACAACAAACCTACACAACATGGTCGTGTGAAAACATGGCGGATAACAGATACGGGGGCAACTCAAATGTTCATTGTCGTCTCTCCTAATCATTATAAATCTAAAGACAACAAAGCTACGTACACGCATCCTTTTAAGGCGACGCGATTCTTGTTTTTTCTTAATTAAGCTTGTCCAGTTTTCGTAGGCTATGGCAGAACCATCCGATAAGAATCCACTTGAAGCTTTTTCGCCACAAGACAACTGAATTTTGCACGACAGATACACAACTGTCCCGAAAATGCCTCAATTCAATATACTATACATGCCCGTAGCCAGGGGGGGGGTTCGGGGGGTTCGGAAGAGAACCCCCCACAAGGCTGAAAGGTCCACTTTTTGGTCCACGTTTTATGTAAAGGTCCAAGATTTTTCTTGAAAAGATAGACTGGAATCGTCGAAAAACTGCTCCCTTTGTCATTGAATAAAAATTTATCTCTGATTTTTTCTTTGAAATCCTCTCAAAAACGCACAAAATGCCATTTTAGAAGGTTCATTTTTCAAAATTTTCCGGGGGAGCATTCCCCGGACCCCCCTAGGAACCTCGCACCTACGGCGCTCGAGGTCCCCTCAAGCAGTGGGAAGAACCCCCCCCCCTTTCAAAATCCTGGCTACGGGCATGCTATATGTACAGCCGTAAACTTATCGATATCGTCGAGTAATACTCAATGTGACAAGACGGTAGTACGACAATCATACGACGAATTTGACCGGATCCAAAACGTTGACGCTCTTGGTCGAGGTAGCCTGGTTTAATACGATATTCAACGGGTCGGCTTCGAGGGTGTTCCGGCCGGCCAGAGGTTGTTTGGCACCCGATAGGAGTTTCAGCCGCGCCCCGTAGAGGGATACCCCGAAGCCGACCCGTTGAGTAGGGTAATCAGGCTATGGTCGAGGTAGTAATGCTCTTTTTTTTCAGTCGAACCAAGGGTACCAATAAGAACTAGCATACTAATAAAAATACCATAACTTACTTTTCTGTGGTGACGGCCTTAGACAGCATGACGACTGTTCTGGTGATTCTTCTGAACCGGGCCAGCGGCTGGAGAGAATGAAAAATACAAAAGATGTGAGTTATGGATAAGCTAAACTGTTCTTTCAACATGGTAGGAGGATGATATAACCTGATCAAGTCGCGCTCCAGGGTGCCCTCTGGACGAATGGCCCACTAGAAGTGACACTGTCACTGCCCTGTACAGAGTTTGTGCCAGGGCCTAGTCATATATGTCTTGCGACAGTCGTACGATTTCTATCTTACGACATTCTTGAGATAGACGTGCACGAATTCAGCTGTCTTCGTACTGACAAGGCTGTCTTATGCCTGCTGGATCATGGAAACTCCTACGACATCAAAACCGTTGGACGACCTACGACGAACGTTACCGGCCGCGGAGCAAAGCTTGGTTCCATTTGATTGACTATATTTTGTTGTACAGTTTTCATGTCAGGCCGTGATAGAACCAACCAACAATCATAGACGCCCGACAAAGATCTATGACAATCTTTTCATACACAAGGTATCACGACTGACTGTCCAAAGAATGCCCTCAATGTGCTGTCGTGAAACCATCGTACGACGAATATGACCGGGTCCTTACAAGAAGGGTGACATACTTGTGGACATTTCGTCCAAGCCTTCTCCATCCATGTAATTGTTATAAAATGACTGTGTGATGTGTTTGTGTTGGGGTTAGTGTTAGAGAGAGGAGAGACAGTGTTATTGTGAGTGTTTGTGTTTTGGATCATGTTCAACACCTGCCCGAACACAAAGCACTTCAAACCACTTTACCTGGGTGTGCTACAAAAAGTACAAGGGGACAGACATGTACCCTGGATGCCAAACTAGTATCGGGCCGTTAGCCATTTCCTTCGGCAGCCAAGAGCCCTTCGCCCGCCTATCTAAATTAACGCTACGGGGGAGTTGAGCCCGAGGGGTTTGTACGGCCAGCCAAACTCCCCCCGGGCTAAACTCCCCCGTAGCGGTACTTTACACCAGCGGGCGAAGGGCTCTTGCGGCCCGGAAAACGAGTTCTGGACGGATTCCAGGGTAATAGACATGTAAGGGATCTGTAGATAAAACATCTCCGCAACTTCAGTGTTTGTGTCGCATAACCATGGTAAACCACTTTTAGTCGTGACAAATCAGTTTTGTTCAGTAGACACAAACTGCGTAAGACTGCAATGAAGTCGTGACAAATCTGCTTTGTTCAGCACATGTAAGACCGAATGTAAGGTTTGATTCACTCACCTACCTACCCTGGATACCTAACTAGTATCGGGCCGTTAGCCGTTTTCCTTCGGCAGCCAAGAACCCTTCGCCCGCCCTTCTAAATTACCGCTACGGGGGAGTTGAGCCCGAGGGGTTTGTCCGGCCCTATTAGTATGACACCTACCATGGAAGCCAAACTCGTTTTCCGGGCCGCAAGAGCCCTTCGCCCGCTGGTGTAAATTACCGCTACGGGGGAGTCTAGCCTAAATCTCCAAGCAGATCTTTCGGTGGCAACACAGTATCCATTGGCCAGAGGAGTGTCCAAGATCTGCTCGGGGGGAGTTTGGCTGGCCCTACAAACTTGCAGGGCCGAAACCTCCCCACGGGCTCAATCCCACCGCAGCAGTAATTTAGGTCTGCGGACGAAGGGCTTCTGGCTGCCGAAAGAAACGGCTAGCGGCCCGTAAACTTGGCTGGCACCCAGGGTACTCACACCGGGATGGACCCCTAGTCATTTTGATAGAGAGATTCTTTATAGACACAACAAAAAAGTACACAGACTTTTGTATGGTCTTCTACAACTTAACTAAAGATCTAACAAAGCTAAATACATGTGTGGATAACGTCACCTTACGTACAGAGTATATGTATGAAGTAACAATAAAGGTTAACTATTCTCTATCATGTGTGACTACCCCAAGGGAACAACATTGGGACCTGCTAGGGATTCGAACCACGAACCTTTAGATTCTAACTTCAGCAACGCTAAGTCTCAAGACCACCTTGCCATATCTCAACTTGTGATCTAGATCTAGAGCTGAAACAAATTAGGGCGTAAGTTCTATTTCTGGGCTCGACGGTATGCCTAATACCTGACAACTTCACACTACTGTTCTTTCATGTTTGTCGTCATTTGTGGCGCACGGTGAAAATCACAAGGTACAATATTGTAATAAGTACAGATTTGCTCAAGGAATTACGAACTGACGACCACACGTCGTCCTGTGCTTGCTAGTAATAATTGTATTCAAAACTTCACAAAATCCACATTCTGACCAAGCCGTCATAGAAGAAGAAGGTCTCCCGTGCTCTTGCCCGAGCGTAGGGTGGTGCCCATCTCCATTTCGTAGCCCTTGGGCTACGAAGCCCTTGTGCAATGTGCACTACAGCAGGGGCCTAGTCCGCTGGTGGTGCTGTGTGTTTGACCTTCCCACACCCTTTCTCATATGTGCTGAGTGCTAAGCAGAGAAAGAAGTGTGTACCATTTCTAAAGTCTTTGGTATGACACAACCGGGTTTGAACTCACGACCTCCCGGTTACAAAGCGAGCACTCTACCAATTGAGCTATCGCACCAAGCTGTCATAGAGCCTGGAAATATTACATTTGAAGATGTAAATGTAACTCAACCAAATCCTACTCAATCTAGTTGAGGAGCGAAGCAAACGCAGCGCACAATTCTGACGTTCAGTGTAGCGATGAAATTTCTACTCACTGAAATTCCCCAGACTTAGGCCTGCTCTTCTTAACAGGTATGACAAACGGTGAACCAAGAACGGCTTCTGACGTTATTTTTTAAGAACCACAACCCTTTCCAGTAACGCACTGTCACACGTCTGGAGAGAGACGGCAAGCTGGGATTCGAACTCCAGACCGTCTGGTCCAGAAGGGGGCTCGGTAAGTAACCACTGAAGTGCGCACGTTACATTTGTTACTCCTGACAACAGGTGAATACGTACGTGCACACGAGCCATCGAGCCGCAACGGTTGAATAACCGCCTTTGAACCCATCAAAACATTGGTCTGCTGTGTCACTAAAAGCCGCCCAAGATGAGTCCTTTATTTTCTGGGCGGTACCCTAAAAATCAGCCCAAGGCCCTTCCAGTAACCATTTTTCGTCAGAATTTCGGGAATTTTTGCACCATAAGGTCATTATAAGGTCAATATACACTGGGATATTGTGGTTTCAACTCAGTATGTAGATAAGTGACTAGAATATTCTTGAAAAAATCGTGTTTCCAAGCCCTAAAAACTGTACTGGATGCCTTAAAGGCACCGCTAAACATATGAAAATCTATCAATATACATATTATATTTTGAGCATAAACGTAACACAATTCCGGTACTAAAGTGTTATTTTTCAGATTTTTTTTTCTAAAAAACATGCTGCGTTTTCGGGCATCTGTACTACAAAAATCATAGTGTTTTTTTTTTCACGTAGGGCTTTTTAAAAGTGGCACAGGAAAAACCCGCGCTGTGTTATACCAACAGAGGTGTGTGCTTCTCTAACAATTTTCTTCACGGACCAGTGGACCTGTCCCGGTGTGGACACACGTCCTCTCACCGCATCACGGGCAACACAAACACGGGCTCTGACAGGACGGGGAGGGAGACTTAGGCCATAGCAAGTCATTTTTACGGATGACGTCCGCGCGCGCATTGATTTTGGCCTGGTTTTGGAAAAAAACAAGAAATTTTGTTGCCCTCTGACAGTGGTCAACATGCCAAAAAATGGGCAAACTTTGAGATGTCTGTTGCCATGCCGGAACGTGGCTGGCAGATAGATATGAAGAGAGGAGACAAGACAAGGCTCTGATTTATTGCTTTGTCTCTTACTTTGATGCAGTGATTTAAACCACTGAATCAAAACCATTTGTACAAAGTTTGAAAACTTTTATTTTTCAGTGACAATGGATGTTGTAATAGCTTGCAGTAAACATAGCACAGTAGAGGTATCATTTCTTGTTGAACAAGGTTTATGATGTCACGATTTGAAAATGTAGGAATCATGTTTTTTTCGGCCCACCTTGTTTTTTTCGCCCTGTCGCGTTAGATTTGGATTCTATGGAGGATGCCATCCATAAAATTTGCGTGCTATGGCCTTAGGTGGGACAGATCGTTCGGTGTGCTAAAACTGTATCTGTCACCACATACGGGCCTGCGAAGTGGTTTAATAAACCTATTATACAACGGATGCAAACGCATATAAAGCTACATTTACATTCTGACGCAAAACTACAGATACAAATACGTGCACAGATAACACAGGTACATGTACTAACTCAAGAAATAACTGATACAGACACACAGACTACAGATACAGACACACAAAAGTACAGTTACAAGCACGCAGAACTACACACAGATACAAAACACTTGCACAAAGACACAGCTATATGTACAACATGTACAGCAACACGAAATAACCGATACAAACACACACAAACTACAGATACAAACACACAAAAGTACAGCTACAAGCATACAAAACAAGAGGGATACTGAACAATAACATCTCGGTGACTGTTTGAATTGATGGATGAGTTAGAAGTGTTTGTTCTGACGTGTTGATCTAGCCGGGTACACTGTTGTCGCTGCCGGTTTTTCTCTGTTTGGTCATGTTTGCGTTAGCAGAACTGACGACAGATTAAATCTTCAAGCAGACGTTTGGGGTTTGAAGATCGTTACGGCTTCTGACAGCAAGAATTCTCTGACAATGTCTACCCCCTAGCCTCTACCAGGCTTGGGTAGACGGCTGGAAAGAGAGAGAGCAAAAAAGAGATAACATGCCGAGGGAGTTGGTCCTCTGGAGCGGCAAAATGTAGTCTCTGGCAGACCAACTCTCGGTCCCGGCATGTCATCTCTATTTTGGCCAATTTCTACTCAGCTTTCCAGCCGTCTCCCGAGGCCTGGTAGAGGCTATCTACCCCCCAGCACCTAGGAGATAATATCAGAGTCTCAAACAAAGTATGGAAAATCGTTTACCTTCGGACTAGATGGTTACTGAGAGGGGGTACTTAAAGGCATCCATGCAATTTCAGGGCGGCAAAACTGA